GGTTGTTCGTTCTTTGAATATGAAAAATGATCCATTTAGACCCCGAGAAGAAAATGAAGAGATTTTGGGTCTAGAAGTACCATACTTAAGTGCAATTGGAGCCTTAATGTACTTAGCTAACAATACTAGACCCGACATAGCTTTCTCTGTGAATTTGTTAGCCAGGCACAGCAATGCACCAACATATAGGCATTGGAAGGGAGTTCGACACTTACTCCGGTACCTACGAGGGACACAAGACCTTGGTTTATATTACCAACCAAAACAAGATGCTGCTCTCATTGGGTATGCAGACGCTGGATACTTATCAGATCCTCAAAATGCCAAGTCACAAAATGGATATGTGTTCACTTATTGCGGCACTGCAATATCATGGAAATCAACAAAGCAGACATTGACCGCGACATCATCAAATCATGCAGAGTTGATAGCCCTCTATGAAGCAGGACGGGAATGTGTGTGGCTGAGGTCGATGACCAGTAATATCCAAAAGGAGTGTGGAATGAACACAATAACAGAAGACCCAACCATCATCTTTGAAGACAATACAGCATGTATCGCTCAAGTAACTGAAGGATATATTAAGGGAGATAAAACGAAACATATTGCCCCAAAACTGTTCTTCACACATGATCTGCAAAAGGACAAGGAAATAAATATCCAGCAAATTCAGTCTTGTGAAAATCTTGCCGACCTTTTCACCAAATCACTTCCTTCGAAGAAATTTGAACAGTTAGTTCACAAAATCGGAATGCGACATCTTCGTGAACTATGCTGAGATCAGGGGGAGTATTATATGTACTGCACTCTTTTTCCCTTCGATCAGGTTTTTATCCCACCGGGTTTTTCCTGACAAGGTTTTTAACGAGGCAGTATACCAAAGCATATAATACTATATCGTTGTACTCTTTTTCCCTAGCTATGGTATTTACCCCATAAGGGTTTTACCTAGCAAGGTTTTTAATGAGGCAACTTGTACCCCATTCCATGTGAACGTTCAAAGGGGGAGTGTTGAGAAACATGATTGAATTGAACTTCACATGTGACTAAGTACAATAATTTGTATAAAGTACAATAATGTATATTATTGTATTCAATTATTTGGCTATATAAATGAAAGTTCACGTATTGTGAACTTAAGTTGAAAAACAAGAAAAGAGTTTTCCTACCATTCTACTACTTACTTCCTATCTTCATCCCTTCACTGATAAATATCTTACCATCAGTAAAATATTTTTAACAGATCACCAGTTTTTATTTATTTATTTATATATTTTTTTTTCAATACTTGTACTACTATTTTGTATTTAATGGGTAGAATAAACATAACATAATAATTTTTTAAATAAAGTTATTATAAAAACTATTCTGAATAGAGTGCGTATAAAATTATAAAAACACTCAAATGATAAGATAAATGCTACGACTTACGGAGCAATAGTTTATCAGATTATTTTGATACATAATCAAAATATTGTGCTAACGCTCTTTTTAGCAATTTGCTTTTATAATAATAGTCGATCGAGAGTAATGAGTAATTGACTTGCTCTAATCATTTTTACCAAGTAATTTGTTTGTCATTATATTTACGGTTGAGTAAATCTAGAAAATGAGAGTAATCTCTTAATTTGTTTATGATGTTGTTTGTCGGTCATCCCTCTTTGGCTGTCCATTGAACATGCACAAGTTGATAGTCCTAAGATAGTAATAAGCAACATGTTTTTTCTCCTATTAAGTGTTCCTTTGAATAGTCATGGAACTTCTTTAAACTTTACATTTTTGGTTGTGTGTTGAAACTAATTTCAAGCCAATATTACTTTTATTAGACCAAATCAAAGTCTTCATTAAATACGGAGTAATATAACGCAGTTGTTGGGGGTGTAGCGGTTCATAAAGATAATTAAACAATTTACATAGTCAAAGACTATACAACATGCAAGTTGAATAGGTATTCAATAATTAGAATACTTCTTTAGAAAATTAAAAATTTATGAAGAAAAATTAGTTGATCATAAAGAAAGCGTGGCTTTTTATTTTTAAAACATGCATTCATTCCAACTTCAACCACAAGTTGGACAATGGACATGGTAATAGGAAAGAGCCACTCATAAATCACAACACGTAGTACTTATTTTCATTTGGCGTTATTATTCTAAGCTAATTGTTGCGTGTACAACCCATCTTTAAGCTAGGAATACTTTGTACTAATACCAAAATGTTTCTCCAAAATAACATGTAAGAGTCTACAAATAATTTTAATCTTAAAACAAATCTAATTAATATTCTACGTATAGTATGTCTATTTATGTATGAACTCGTTGAAAATATCTTGTGAAGATATATCTCTTAAGACTTGTACTTTTCATTAAAATATATGGTCCAAATATTAATTAGGTAAAAGAGCAAAATACTTCCAAATAAAAGGATTAAAAAAGAAAAGGGGCATATGTAACCAAATGCAACATGATATTTCATTAGCACTTCCAAAACAATAACTTTCCAACAAAAATGAAGTATTAGTTGGTATTCCAAAATATCCACCCAATATAATTAGCCTAGTGTGAGAAATAGACAATAGAAGGCATTAAACTAAGATGATTAATTAAGCGCCACAAATATTGAAAAAAAGCTTCATCCAATTGTTGCGCAAGTGTTGTCCTTAAACAAGACATTTGCACATATGGTGCAAACATCATCAACGTCGTCAAATATTCCCTTTTCTTTTTTCTATTCTTACATTATTTTCTTTTCCTTTTTTTTTAAATATAATATTATTTTGCTTATTTATACTTCCTCCGTTCTGTTAATATTGCAACAAGGAGGAAATTACGCATCCCAAAACACATTTTATATGCTAAATATCTATAATTGTGTAAAAGTAAAAATTATAAAAAGTTGATATTGTGAAAGTATTTTATGAGACGAACCCAACAAGATCACACTTGACTATATTTTGCTTAACGTATAACTCATATTATATAGTCAAACGAGAGTGATGAATAATGCAAAAAGTTCATTGTTGCAATATTAATAGAACAGAGGAAGTATTATATTACGTATATTAGTTTTTATTATTATTTAAGGTGAAATTTTATTCCTCGTTTTGCCTTTTTATGTTTTTTCCACCCAATACAAACTTTGACAAATGGAGAGCATCATTCCATCGAGTCACAAACATTATACACAAGTGTCATCAGCAAAATGGACTTTTTGTTTACTGAAATTACTTCTAAATTACTCCCACTATTTCTTAATACAATACAAATAGTTGCCTATATTTAATGACACTTGTTTTTCTATGTATAAGACTATTTTGTTAAGCTTATCCATAACTATACATAAAACTTGAAAATTATGATGATTTATATCATCAAATCATTACTGATTAGCTAGTTTTTAAAAGTACTCCGTACTATTATAACAACAAAAAATATTACGAATGTATATGTATGTGATCTAAAAGTACCAAATTAAGGGAGAGATATATTTCCTAATAAGAGGTTTCAATCTAGAAAGATTATTGTAAATAGTATGGGAAATCCAAAGAAAATAAAAATTGATTGACTAACATCATCATGTAATCTCATCGTCAATTAAACTACTTCGTATTAAAAGTCAAAACTTGTTAAACTTGACCATAAAAGTTCAAAGTAAGAATAATAGTTAATGGAACATTTTGTTGATTTTACGATCTTATCTACATATAGGCGATATAGCAATATGCTCGATGCATAAAATTTAATTATTTACTATTATAGGAAAAGGGGAAAAATCCTAATTTACCCCAAATATTTTAGTCCAATATGATGAGCAATGAATGCATCACGGGTCATAAGTATTCGTCATTGGTTATTAATGGATAAAAATAATCAATTATGAAAAATCAAAGTTTGATGACGTTATGCAAATACGGGCCTCTTATTATAACTAACGGAAAAGCATGAATGATGATATTTTGCCAAACAAAAGTGGACAGGACCGTGCATTTATAACATATTTCAACGTGGAAAACGAGTTTTACTTGTTGTAGTACGAGTATTATGGAAGCGATGCAACACGACTTTGTCAATCAACTTTATAATAATCATAATAAAAAATACTTGTGTATAATTAATTTTTATTGTATGAAATGGGATATAAAAGATATACGAGTAGTAATAATTTAACAGAAAATAAGACGACTTTTGACCATTAAAGAAAAATATATGTGAGGTTATCAACAAAAAAAAAAGCACTAAAAGAAAAATGCTTGGAATGGTCAAAAGATAATAATGCAGGCAACGGATAGTTGAAATGATGCCATTGTTCTCTGTAGTTGGTGGCTGACTAGCTTGCTTTCGCTTCTACTCCTGATAATAATGAGCTCTTTCTTTGATTCAATGCTTCAATCATCTCTTTTTTAATTTACATACAGCTAAAGAACAGCTACCAAAACAGAGAAATTTTGCCAATGAGATCTAGAATGCTTCGGCACTACGATAATTTCAGCTATTATAAATAAAAAAATGGAGCTATTTGAGCTGTCAGATGAATTGACCAAATGAGAAGTAAGGTCAAGGCATCTGCTCCAAAATTTGGTTGATTTGTAGTTATCTGCTGGTCTGTCAATAGTTCTAGTTTATAAGCCAAACGCTAACAACAAATAGGTTCAGGTCAGGTTTAGTAAACGTAGTTCTTCTACATACCGTTCAAGTCTAGAACTCGTGCACAAAGAATAGAAAGGTGGTACTTCAAACACAAATGTAGCAACCGGCAAGTTCTGTAAACTGAGTTCTTCTACATGTCATTCAACTCCAGAACTCGTGCACAAAGAACAGAAAGGTAGAACTTCATTCACAAATGCAGCAACAGCAGGCAAGGATTACAACATTACTGTAGCAACCAAACCAAAGCAAAAGGAAATCCCAACATGCAGCAGTTTGGGGACTGGGGTCCAGCGTTCAGCTATTCAGAATCCAAACCCAAAAGAATAATCAAACATCATCTTAAAATGGTGTGGGAGAAAGAAAGGGAGTCATTTGCAACTATATTGCCAAAACTTGCGGGAGGTCCTAAGACAAAACATTTGATACCATAAAGATGTTTGTACTACAATTTCCCAATATGATTTTAACAAAAGAAACATAGTATTCAGTAATCATGAAAATGCTTCAAGTATCAAAATTCAAGGGTCTGCAAACAATACTAATTTCCAAGCCCTGTGATAGATCCTAGCTACATCACAATATCTATAAAAAAAAAAAACACCTTAAATTCCAGCAAAAGCCTTCTTTCCACCAGCAGCAGCTCCAGCTGGAATCACCTTCAACACATTGAACCTCACTGTCTTTGAGATAGGCCTGGATAATTATCAGGGAAATATGATCAAGATAAACACTGAGATCTGTTAGACATATACACAAATAACACAATATCAACCAAAGTGCTCCAAGAGCAACTGACCTGCATTGACCAATGATAACATGGTCTCCTTCCTTGACACGGAAACAGGGTGACACATGTGCAGGGATGTTTGAATGCCTCTTCTCGTACCTGCAAGCAACATACCAGCAAACAAAATAATAAGAATACCGAACAATCACATATAACACAACAGCACTTGGGAAAACAACATAGCTAATACTTGCCTTTGGTACTTCTTGATGTAATGAAGGTAGTTACGGCGAACAATAATGGTTCTCTGCATCTTAGCACTGTGGCAAGTTCCAGCTAGAATACGGCCCCTGATTGAAACAGAGCCGGTGAAGGGACATTTCTTGTCAATGTAAGCTCCTGATATCAACAACAGTACATCAGTTATGCATGAATGACAATTAACAGTACTCAATGGGAAAAAAACAGGTCTTAGGAAGACCAGTAAGCAGAACAATACAAAAGAAACAGTCCTTATCAATTTGATAATTGGAGGATTTAGTTCAAACAAAGCACCGCACTGCCTGAGTGCAGATGCACTTTCTAAAATAATTTCATAGCATCTTGCCCAAGATGCACCTCAAAACTAGCTTTTGTAGGATTAAAACAAAGTAATGATATTGAGCTAAGATCCTAAACTCAGGTTGCTCCCGACTACTTACTCGGTTTCTACGCTCATTTTTTATTTTTATAAGGAGAATTGTAGGAATTCTCCCATTTTCCATATAAATGAAGCAGTACAACAAAATTAATATAAATATAAAGGATAGGTGTAACAAGGTCAGAGAACATGATAAAACTACAGAAAATATAGTTTGAAGGATTGATGCCTTCTTTCCTTCCCATTACTCCTAAAAACATCTTGCTGACTAAACCATAATATTTCCCATGAAAACTTTACACAATATATCATATTCCCATCATATGCTTGGTATCGTTAGCTTCTTATCAATGGACTTTAACCAACACCTCAGAGGCTTTCTCTGAAATAAACTTTCTTACACAGCATGTAATCCCAAACGATTCCAACATACAACAAAATATCCTCAAATTTCATCACAAAACATTGATAGAAAGCTGTATCATATCTACTTGGGCCCAACAAGTATAGGAAACTTTAGATTTTCATTCAGTCCTTAAACATGGGAAAACGACGCTTGTGTCCCTAGTCTCAACTCTCAAGTACTTATTAGATTTACCCATAAATTTGCAAGAAAGTGATTGTTTCCTTTGAATCATTCTTTAAAAGAGCTTGATATTCTATCAACAATAAAAAAGATCAAGAGCTTGCTCTGCTATCAATTAGTTAAAGAGCTTGCTGTGCTATTAACAATGAAAAAGTGAAAAACTAGTACAAATCCGGAACTAAGTTGAATCTAAGTTGCTTCTCCATAAATTTTACCCTCTCTAAAGTGCATCCATTGGCATCCTTCTTATCTCCTCAAACTAGAACATTATCCCATGTATAAATCAAACTATAAATTCTTCCCAAAGGTCAAGATACTTAGTTCAGGTAACATAGCATTAACAAAGTACAATCACACTTATTTATCAAAAAAAAAAAAGTACAATCACACTTAAGAGACCATTTAAGAATCAACGTGATCACGTCACATAGTAGCAAGATATTGATGCCCAGCTCCACCTAAAAGCATTGGGTGATAAATAGCTTTACATTGAATCAACAGCAGCAAATATGCGTCGCATCAGGGATCATGTCTTTGATTGAATTTAGAACGATTAAGAAAATATATAAGATCGAGAAGGAAGTAACAAATCTCAAATTTCTATAAATAGCCTAAACCAAAACCCAAAAAGTAGTCCTCTGTCAAGACAAATGTCAAACAACCACAAGATCTGATTACTGATTACAAGAGATCATTATAACACAAGCATATCAAAATGGCTAGTTTGCCCATACTTGACACAACAATGCTCAAGTATCAATCAGTCAACCATGTCATAAAGAGCCAAGACTAACAATTCTAATACACAGCTTTAATGGCTAAAGCTAAAATAAAGGCGCCTATGTGTTGTGTTCAAGAAAAAAAAATCCAACGTGTTTCAACATCAAATTTCTCCAGCAAATAACACAGATAAGAATCTTAAATCAGCTTTCTCCATCCATTCTAGACTATGTTACTTGGACTCAGATGAAGTGTCCAATTAGACACGGGTGTCCAAGTATCGGACTCGCCCATTTTCTTGAAAAAAATTGTGTTTTTAGTTAAAAATGAAGTGTCCAAGTGTAGGTGTCGGTGTCCGACACGAGTCGTGTCGAGACGGACACGTGAGGTAAATGAAAGAGTCCGAGTAACATAGATTCTAGAAATAACAACAATACATGTTAAAATATCAAAATAAAAACCTGATACTGGGATACACTCCAACATTTACAGTTCTTGCAGATGCAACAGTGACACTAAAATTCATTTCAAGGCTTCAAGCTAATTACCACTCATATAAAGTAAAAGACTATAGAGCCTTATTGCACAAAGCTTATGGCCATCAATAAAGTGCTTACAGATTACACACCCCCCTTAGTACCAATATCATCTATGATGAGCACCAACTCTACTAAAGATACAAATTTCATTCCGAAAACTTGAGAACCTCCTCTTAAAATGACCAGCTCACCAGAAAGTTGCTTTCTCCCAAGGGCATCATTAAAGTTCATAAATTTCTTTCTTATAACCACTTCAAAGAACCCAATCAAAGTTTGCAACTTATGTCCAACCTCATTTCTATGTTAAAATAATAATAATTACCAAACATTTTCATATCCGACGCAATCAAGTTTACTTTAATCAACACCTCAGAGGCTCTCTGGAATAAACTCTCTTGAACAGCATATAATCCCAAATGATTCAAACATACAAAAGATCCTCAACTTTCAACACAAAACATTGATAACCTATAAATTTTCATTCAGTCCTTAAACATGGGGAAACAACTCTCATGTCCCTAGTCTCAAGTACTTAATAGATTTTCACATAAATCTGCAAGGAAGTGATTGTTTCCTTTGAATCATTCTTTAAAAGAGCAAAATGTGCTATCAACAATAGATAGTTAAAGAGCTTGCTCTGTTATCTACAATGAAAAGTTAAAAGAGCTTGCTGTGTGTTATCAACAATGAAAAAGTGAAATACGTGTACAAATCAGGAACTGAGTTGAGTCTAAGCTTATTCTCAATGAATTTTAACCTCTCTAACGTGCATCCAAAGGCATCCTTCTTATCTCCTCAAACCAGAACATTATCAAATGTATAGATCAAACTATAATTCTTCCCAAAGGTCAAGATACTTAGCTCAGGAAACATAGCACTAACATAGTACAATCACACTTCAAAGACCATTGAAGAATTCACATGATCACATCACATAGTAACAAGATATACAATAAATCTAGAGTGTATTGTGAAGCATCATTTCTACAATATTGATGCCCAGCTCCACCTAAAAGCATTGGGTGATAAGTAGCTTTACAAATCAACAGCTGCAAATATGTGTCGAATGAGGGATCATATCTTTAATTGAATTTAGAATGATTAAGAAAATATATAAGATCAAGAAGTAAAAATATCACAAATTTTCTATATACAGTATAAACCAAAACCCAAAAAGTAGTGCTCAATGTTGAGACAAATGTCAAACAGCCACAAGATACGATTACTGATTACAGATTACAAGTGATCAATGTAATATGCCACAAGACACATAAAATGGCTAGTTTGCCAATAATTGCCAGTTGCCACAACAATGCTCAAGTATCAATCAGTCAACCATGTCACTAAGAACCAAGACTAACAATTCTAATACACAGCTTTTATGGCTAAAACTAAAATAAAGAACACTATGTCTCATTTTAAGAAGAAAAAAATCCAATGCGTTTCAACATCACATTGCCCCAACAAATAATACAGATAACAATCTTAAATCAACTTTCTCCATCCATTCCAGAATCAACACCAACACATGTTATAATATCACACTAAAAGCCCGATACTAGGAAACAATCCAACCTTTACAGATCTTGCAGATGCAACACAGTGACACTCAAATCCATTTCAAGGCTTCAAGCAAATTACCACTCATATAAGTAAAACTCTGTAGAACCTTGTTGCACAAACCTTATGGCCATCAATAAAGTTCTTACAGATTACATACCCCCTGAATACCAATATCATCTATGATGAGCGCCAACTCTACTAAAGATCACAAATTTCATTCCGAAAACTTGAGAACATCCTCTTAAAATGTCCAGCTCACCGGCAAAAGTTCCGTTCTCCCACAGGCATCATTAAAGTTCATAAGCTTCTTTCTAATAACCCCTTCAAGAACCCAATCAAAGTTTGCAACTTATGACCAACCTCATTCCTATGGGAAAACAATACGAATTACTTCATTCAACATTTGCATATCCGACACAGTCAAGCTTACATTTTTCATTATTGTCCCATGTTTTCGTAGTCATCAGTAACATTTATAACAGCCTAGATACTGTATAGAAATCCATCACAAAAGAACATACAGCATATTGCATCTATAATACCACTTTAGCCTAAAATTTTATACTTTACATTAGTCTCAGAAACACCCACAAAAACCCCAATCCACAGAAGCAAAAAATAAACTTTTTAACATCCTGAAGATATAAAACGCAAAATGGCAATTGAATAACAAACAAATTCACTTAATTTGAACATACTAACTCTAATGCACCTTAAACTCAACCTATACAAGGAAAAGAAAGAACCTTCAATAGCTTCTCTGGGAGTCTTGAAACCCAAACCAATACTCTTCCAGAACCTGTTTCCTCCTTTCCCAGGTCGCTTTCCCTTTCCAGTTTTCTTCGAGCTGCATTTTCCATAAAATTATCAAAATCAAATAATTTAACTTAATTAATTGACAAATCTAGCATTTACAGAATTTGAAGATTACCTCAGAAACACTTTAGGCTGCTTCAAAAAGGCCTTCTCGGTCTATTATATAAATAGCGAAATGTAAATTAATAAAACTAAAACTATTAAGAATATAAATACTAATAAGATCGACTTCAAATAATCGAAGTAAATAGATAGAAAAAGTACCTGTTCCGCCATGATTGAGTGGTTGTAAGATGAGGTTCAGAGGAAGCAATGGAGGCGCCGCTGAGGAGAGAGAGATTGAGAGAAAAGGAGAGAACAAAGAAGAAGAAGAAGAAGGGGCTTAAACCCTAGTTGGATTTTAATTGGTTCCAATCACTTTGAAATAAGCCCAACAATTTTAAACATGGACCAACTTCAAAATTCTAACAATGAGTTTTTTTTTTTTTTTTTTAATACAATAAGTTGTATTGTTAGTTGGGGAGGAGACACAAACAAAAATTTTAACTAACCTTTTTTTTTTAGCCTTAACAGTATTATTGAGAATTTGAGATTTTTTTTTAAAGTAAGGAGTATTTGGTATGCGGGATTGAGAGTTTTAATCCGAATTCAAGAAAAAAAACTTTGTTTGTTTGATAGAAATGGGATTAAAAATAGGATTGGGAATGAGAATATTTAGGAGAGAAATCTCACCGTTTTATTACCCAAGGGTAGGTAATAAATGAATGAGAATAGGAATAAATTTAAAATAACATTTTTACCATTAATGAAAACAATGAATGGAAATTTTATTAAGGGTAAATTTGTTATATATTCACTATACGTTCTCACTCACTATCCAAACAAGGTATTGACATATTTTCATGAATTTCCAATATTTAATTCTCAATCTTATTCCCACCTTTTTATTCCCAAACTCTCATTCCCACATTCCAAACGCCATGTTATAATACTAGAAGTATATACAAAAGACACTCTTATAGACAGGAAGCATGTACTACGTATAGAAGAAACATTTTGAAATGTATTTTCAAAAATAATATTAACACATATATAGGGTGTACTTGATGGTCATAAAAGTTTGTTTCAAATCATGACATGCATACACCACGTTTTCAGATTAATTTTGAAAATAAATTCAAATGTAAAATGATCATGTGAGGTATTTCCCGGGATCATAAACTTAGTTTGGAACAAAAAAAATATTTACCATCCGCTTTAACAAGTCTAAGAGATGTGTTGTTTTCAAATTTAAGACTTCTTTGAAATTCCATTGCATTTATAAATAATTCCATCCTTGTTTCAAAAAAAAAAAAAAAAAAATCCATCCACCCAAATGGCCACTTAGGGTCTCGTGGAGTCGTGGGATCCATGGGAGTACCCAACCTCTTGTTGAGATAAAAAAAGTGGGACTATCCGTTAAAATGAAGATTTGCTTATAAGATTTACTTTTAATTTTTTTTAATTTTAAGAAACTTACAAGATTTACTTGACTATAGATAAATTGAAGAAAACAATACAGAGTAACAATAATAATATTAATAAATAAATATACTCCGTATAAAACATCTTACTCTTCACTATCAATATAGCAAGCTGACAATGCCTTACGAGTTACTTCCTCTGTTTTTATTTACTTGCAACATACCATTTGACACGCATTCCTAGGGAGATAATTAAACTAGGTAAATAAATAAATTGATTCACCAAATTTTACCACCAAGAGGAAGTACAATTGTATGATGTCCTTTCCCAAGTCCTAACTTTTCATGTCAGGACTCAGGAAAACAAGCAAGCATCCCCTGGCAAGTAAGGCGCAAGCAAGGCCATTTCGATCTTAATCAGCTTCTCGTAGATTGTCAAGATATATAAGATCCATGGATTGTAACTTTCCGTGAATTTGTGTAGTTTCCTAAGTTTTTCCAAACCAATCTACAAATCACTGTTGTGAACTTGTCCAACGAGCATTTACAAGGATCATATTGAGACTGGCAGATCAAGTCCCAGGTGCCAAATCGTTACAAGAAATGAGAACGTAAATCATCAGAATGAACCACTGTATATTTTGAGTAGCACCTACACTTTCCTCCTTGATATACAGCCAAGAATACGAGTTATATGACTCGTGTCAGTGGCCAGACAGTATGATAATAAGAAATCACCACTGATAAAATCAGTCATACGTGGGCATTGCAATAAAAAATCAAGATAAATAATAGAATGCTAAAGATTAACATAATTCATCAACACATCTGAATGCTAGTAGATCTAATCTTCTAAATGAAGACTCCACACAAAATTGTAAACCTCTAGCAAAAAAAAAAAAAAAAAAAAAAAAAAAAAAAAAAAAAAAAAAAAAAAAAGTGGTAAACTTGAAATGAGTTGCCGAATGAAGCTATATATCAGTAACCATCATTGATCCATGAGCTGATAATGGTGTAGAAATTACGTTGAATTACCTCAAAGATAGATTTAGAGAGTGAAAGATGTATATCTGTATATAATCTGTGCATTGCATGTACAAAAAGGTGTCATAAGAGAGAATTATAAAAATAAAACAGGAAAAAGATGAACCTCTCTTCGGGTGCCTAAACTGATCAAAGGCAAAAACCAAAAATTTAATCAGCATAGCCAACATCGTGCCTGCCTCTGATGAAGTCTATATTACTTCAAGAAACTCGAATGTGATTCCTTGCTCTCTAGTACTGCTCAACAAGGCTGACCCCTTCCACTTTATCTTTACGCATCTTACGACTTAAACAGACTTCCTCGAGTAATATCATTCCGTCTGCATCAAGAAAAAGATTAAATAAAAAGGTAATTATGTTACTTCTGGGTGCTGATGAAACACTGGTCATTCCGATTGTATTGAGTGTGCAAGTGTGTGCAAGTCAGCAAGTGTGTTAACTCTTAGTAAAGTAGGATCTTGGAAAAAAGACGAGATTTGAAATATAATCCGCAATCTTCATAGTTGTCCAATGATCATATAGAGAAGCTAAGTCCTTCCAAACTAATAAATCAAAATTCAAATTACAGAAATTGGTAACAGTATCACCTTTCGGCGCTTGGGATTGGGACCAGGATTAGCATCAGCTTCCCGCCGCGATGTTCCAACTTCATGATCCTCTGCCTGCAATACAATAATGTTAATTAGCAACAATTACAGGTAAGAACTAGAATCACAAGAAAGAGAATGCTCACTGCAGTTGAAGAAGTGGAGCCGTTTCCGTGATGAGAAGCATCTGCCGCAGAGGAGGAATCATTTTGCACTGTTCCAGAGTTCTGTGAAATCATAGGCATAATCTGTTCAAGCATCCTAGACAAAAATATTCCTTCCTCAGTAGCTGTAGGTTCTGCTTCCTGTGCACCCGCATTGCTAGTCCTTTCTTGCTCAGTAACAGATCCCATACCTCCTCCCTGTGAGCTGACACTTTCTACCTGGAACTCACCCCCAGGGAAGAGTCCTCTCAGAAATTGAAGAATACCTGGAGGAATCTGACCCTCAGAATTCTGATCGCTTTGAATTCCTCCGGCAGACAGAATGTTGATGTCAATGGTGCGAGATGAAATTGACTCCCTTAATCCGGCACTGGACGCTGGAGCCCTACCTGCTCAAAGAACACAAACAGGCCACATAAGTAAACTCATTTACAAGATATAACAAGGACCAAAAAAAGGATCCACCAATTCATTCCTGTTCTTATAGACATATAGTACATAAAATGCAGCAACAACCAACCATTCCATTGAGAATCCAATTTGCACATCACTGGTAGCAAAAGCTAGCCGCATATCCCCATATGCTTATTCAATCAAGTATCCCCCATTGTATTATATTTTATCATCTAGCAAGATTTTTTTTTCCTAATATTGTTTATTAAAAAGTTGTAAATTCAATGTTAACAAGGTTTCACATCAAGGACAAATGTAACCTATTAGTTTGAACAGAGGTAGTAGAATGCCAGCATCAGCCAGTTTTCAAATACTCCAAGCCCACATCAAAACGCATACTAAACAAATTATACCACCATGGGAAGAAAAAGAACCTAAACTGTAAACTATTACAAGCAGTCAAGCACTATATTTGTAAAAAAAATCAGGGCTGGGCCGCCGGCCCCCTGTCTACCCTTAAGAACTTCCGCCTCTGCCTCTATCCTCTACCCCCACCCCAGCGTGCTCATTGTCCCAGCCTCTTAGAAAACAACTTTTCATACATAAATTTATGTCATACAAATCCCCCCCCCCCCCTCTCCCAAAACAATGTTACAACATGTGCATACTGGCATACTTCTACTAGCAGACTGTATAAAATTGAAGCCAGAGTACTGAATAAAAAACAAATAATTTCTAATTACCAAGCCCAGCAGGACCTTCAATATTTTGCTGCAAAGTTGCAGAGTCAAGACTGCTAAGCGGCTGTGTCTGGAGGCCACTAGAGTTATGTTCATTGGACACTTGATTTCCTGCTTGACTGCTCAAATTCCCAGAGGGCGAATACCTTCCGAGAACAGGATATAATAATCCTACAGAACCACCAGAAGCGTCTTGAGGTGAGTGATTCAAATCAGGAGCAGCAGCCATCATTGTTCTAAAAGGCAAAATACGAACAGCTGGCCCACTATTTGAAGATGGGATGGTTGAGGTCCCAGTAGAAGATTGGTTGATTGGAGCTTCTCCACTGTTATTAGTTGTAGAGTTCCTTTGACCTGAAGATTGCTGAGTACCAGCATGTTCATTTTGATGAGTCGATGAGCCTACTGGCATATGAAACATTAATTAGTAATACTGAAAGATAATGCGCAGAATTCACATGCACAAGAAAAACAAAAATGTGACAAACCTCTTCGTATTTGTATATCTATGCGTCTAGGAACAAAACCAGTACTGACTCCATTAATCAAACCAGAGCCAGACTGTGAGGTTCCTGAAACAGGGGTACCAAAACTTGCTCCAGGCTGAAATGGGAGAGGCTGTAAAAAGCTATGTAGTCAGAAAAATGTTAAGATATATGGACACAGAAACCTGTAGATGATTAGATAGTACCTGAACCATAAGTGGATTAGGCCCAGATGAAGAAACAAAAACTGCAGGGCCAGCATTGACTACTGCTTCTGACTGCAAACAAGCACATATCACGAGGACACATTCAATAATGGGACAAACAGGACATGGAATCTGCAGAAGATAGGAAGTCATGACTCACAGGTGATCTGCCAAGTCTCAGTGTTGTGACAGTACGACCAAGCTCAAGAAAGTATGCACCTAGATTCTGCAAAAGGATTCCATTTCTCAATGCACCTGATTGAGCAGTAATTCTCACCCCTGGATCAGTCATATTCTCCTGATTTTCGAGCTGCCTTCCAAGTTGCTGCGGACCAATTTTAA